AAGAAGTCTGTTTTCACCAGTGAGTAGGAGAACGCCGAGAAAAGGTAATTGGTTGTCCTTCTCCCGAGTACCGTCATAGAAGCTAAGACGTTGTGTAGTTTTGAAAATAGGTTGGATAAATACATGAGTGGGTGTGGGAGGGTGTGAGTTGAACCTGACTAGCTTGTTGATAAATTAGACACATGTGCAACTCTTGGGTATCTTTATTGAGGAAACGTTTCGCCACACAGTGGCTTCATCAGTCCATACAAAGGAGAATCTTGAAGAACAGGAGGAGAATGAGGTAATCAGTCCCTCAACCTTGAGTCGATGTGGTCAGTCCATCAATCTTGAATAGAATACGGCATACGTGCGGAGAAGGAGCTTATAAACCGTCAGCAGGAGAGGTGCAGCAGTCATAGGTGGTGTAACATTTGTTCAATGTTGAAGTAGGTCGTGCCCAAAAATTAGGCAAGCGAAGAATTCCCAAGTATTAAGATCCCAAGAAGTTGCAGTGTCTGACAGGTTTGTAGATGAATGGTTCAGAGAACCATTCATCTACTGACTAGCTTATGCTAAAAGGTCTGATGCCGTGCTCCTTAAGTGGATGTGATCTGACCTGACTAGGTGGGTCATTATTTTAAGCCGGGAGGTGACTTGGACCTGCCTCGCATGGGCCAGTAGGCCTGTTGCAGTGTGAAGATTGAGACACTTATGCAGCATATGGGAATCTTTATTCAGGAAACGTTTCGCCACACAGTGGCTTCATCAGTCCAATACAAAGAGGAAGGCGTAAGGAGAGGAGGAGAATGAGGTAATCAGTCCCTCAACCTGGAGTCGATGTGTTCAGTCCATCAATCTTGTAGAATATACAGCATAGGGCCGTAAACGTGGCTTATATACTGTAGTGAGGTGACGTGAAGCAGGTGGAGGCCGGGTCATAGTGGTACCATCCACTAGTCGAAGTAGGTCTCCGTCCAAAGGTTGAACAAGTGTTGAAGAATTCTTTGTAACAAGATCCCATGATGCTGCAGTGTCTGACAGTTGTGATGAATGGTTTGAAAAACCGACAATTTGAAGATTGAGACACTTATGCAGCATATGGGAATCTTTATTCAGGAAACGTTTCGCCACACAGTGGCTTCATCAGTCCAATACAAAGAGGAAGGCGTAAGGAGAGGAGGAGAATGAGGTAATCAGTCCCTCAACCTGGAGTCGATGTGTTCAGTCCATCAATCTTGTAGAATATACAGCATAGGGCCGTAAACGTGGCTTATATACTGTAGTGAGGTGACGTGAAGCAGGTGGAGGCGGGGTCATAGTGGTACCATCCACTAGTCGAAGTAGGTCTCCGTCCAAAGGTTGAACAAGTGTTGAAGAATTCTTTGTAACAAGATCCCATGATGCTGCAGTGTCTGACAGTTGTGATGAATGGTTTGAAAAACCGACAATTTGAAGATTGAGACACTTATGCAGCATATGGGAATCTTTATTCAGGAAACGTTTCGCCACACAGTGGCTTCATCAGTCCAATACAAAGAGGAAGGCGTAAGGAGAGGAGGAGAATGAGGTAATCAGTCCCTCAACCTGGAGTCGATGTGTTCAGTCCATCAATCTTGTAGAATATACAGCATAGGGCCGTAAACGTGGCTTATATACTGTAGTGAGGTGACGTGAAGCAGGTGGAGGCGGGGTCATGTGGTACCATCCACTAGTCGAAGTAGGTCTCCGTCCAAAGGTTGAACAAGTGTTGAAGAATTCTTTGTAACAAGATCCCATGATGCTGCAGTGTCTGACAGTTGTGATGAATGGTTTGAAAAACCGACAATTTGAAGATTGAGACACTTATGCAGCATATGGGAATCTTTATTCAGGAAACGTTTCGCCACACAGTGGCTTCATCAGTCCAATACAAAGAGGAAGGCGTAAGGAGAGGAGGAGAATGAGGTAATCAGTCCCTCAACCTGGAGTCGATGTGTTCAGTCCATCAATCTTGTAGAATATACAGCATAGGGCCGTAAACGTGGCTTATATACTGTAGTGAGGTGACGTGAAGCAGGTGGAGGCGGGGTCATAGTGGTACCACGTGGCGAATAAAGATTCCCATATGCTGCATAAGTGTCTCAATCTTCAAATTGTCGGTTTTTCAAACCATTCATCACACACACACACGCCTGTTGCAGTATTCCTTCTTTCTTATGTTCTTATTCAATGATTTGTGAATGTCTCGCCCGATCAGCCTCAAGACTTCAGTGCCGATAACTTGAGAATATAGCATCTGAGCGGGCCTCAAACTTAAAATGCTTGTGCATTTTGGAGTATTGGTGTCTGTTAGGTAACTAAAGAATGCTGCTTTTGACTTATCCCAGCCACGATATTGTGACCTTCAGTCTTCATAATATTTTATATGGTATATATTATGTAGTTCCCTTGTAGGTCACCAACATGGTGCACTTTGATTACCTCATCTTTGGTATATAGTTCTACTGTCTTCAAGTTATATCCTCGAATCTGTATTGATAAGCCACTGGATGGCGAAACGTCTACAATAAAGATACCCAGATGTTGCACGTGTGTCTAATTTTCGTACAGGATTCACTTTGTATTAGGTTACATTACATTGAGATCCTCTGTCTTGTATATGCTTTGAACACCCCTACGAGTACAATACATTCTCTCTCTCTCTCTCTCTCTCTCTCTCTTCTCTCTCTCTCTCTCTCTCTCTCTCTCTCTCTCTCTCTCTCTCTCTCTCTCTCTCTCTCTCTCTCTCTCTCTCTCTCCCTCCTTTCGCATGCGTGCACGTGATCGTGCTTCGCGTGTTTTTTTTTCTTTTTTCTATGGCTGTATTTGTATGATTAGTGTGTTTGACGTGCAAGTGTATGACAGGCGTGGCGGCAGAGCAGGCTTGGTGGGGGCACCAGCCACTGGTATTGGTGTGTGTATGTCTGTCTGTCTCCCCCTCCCCCCTCTCTCTCTCTCTCTGTATCTGTCTGTCTCCCCCCCTCTCTCTCTCTCTCTATGTCTGTCTCTCCCCCCTCTCTCTCTCTCTCTCTCTCTGTATGTCTGTCTGTCTCCCCCCCCTCCCTCTCTCTCTCTCTCTGTATGTCTGTCTCCCCCCCCTCTCTCTCTCTCTCTCTCTGTGTCTGTCTGTCTCCCCCCCCCTCTCTCTCTCTCTCTCTCTCTTTTCTCTCTCTCTCTCTCTCTCTCTCTCCCCCCCCCTCTCTCTCTACAATACAGGGTGGTCAAACTCGCCCCGCACTCCATGCTGCACGCCCAACTTTTTCTGAGGTCTCAATGCCGGCATCATAGCGTAGAAAAATATTAAACCTGTATGTGTGTGTGTGTGTGTTAGCTCCTAATGATAAGGTATGAGAATTCCCAAAATGCTGTTCATTATCATAGACTTTCCAATAAGCTTGTAGTCCATCACTTAGTATTTGTAACCAGTGTAAGTTTTTTTTTTTAATGAACTTCATTTTCCAAGTTTGAGTTGCTTTCGTGTTGGTTGAGGCTATGTGGTAGTGGGTATCAGAAAGTGTTTTGCTGTTCTCACCTGTTTGTTCTTACCTATTCGTGGTTGCAGGGGCCGGGTCTCAGCTTGCTAGTTTTATTTCCTCCCAGCCTCGTGGGCTCTGTCATTCCTCTTATTTAAAAATATTTTTAGATCCTTCACTACTGCTTCGTCCAAGTTACTCCAAGTGAGGCTGAAGAAATAGTGTCTAACTTCCAGCTGTGCCCTTGTGTGCACATTTCCCTCTAATAGTAAATATTTGTCCATTCTCCTAATCCCTCTTTGAGTATTTTGCATGTCCTTATCATGCCTCCTCTTTTTTTCTGTCTAAAGTCAAGTTCACGTCCTTTAGCCTCTCCTCAGTTCATTACCCTTATCTGTGGAACTAATTTTCTTGCTAACCTCTGCACTTTTACCAGTTTCTTTACATGCTTTACCAGGTAAAGGAGTTGCGCTGCATACTGCAAGATGGGCCTTGCACATGTCATATATACGACCGTGAATGAATTTAGATTCATGAAAACTGTTCCAGATTTGCCCAGCGTGCATTCGTTGCAGAGGTTATTCGATTAAAGTGTGTCTGGGGATATGTTCGGCGTTAAGCTCACCCCTAGGTCTCTCTGAGTGAGGTTTGCACCACTTTGCATTTGCTGGGTTCAGATTCAAGTAGCGAGTTGTCTGAGCAATCTTGCAGTTTGTCCAGGTCCTATTGTAGCCTTTCCTTGTCCTCATACATTTTTATTCTCTCAATTTTGCATTACTTGCACACAGGGATACATCTGTCTCTCCTGGTATGTCGTTTACCTTTACCAGAAACAATACCGGTCCCAGTACTGATCTTTGAAGAGCCCTCTTGTTACGCTTTTAAATACTGACACCTATTCTCGGACAGTCACCTGTAAGGTACTTTTTGATTAACTGTAATGCATTCCCTGTTATTCCTGCCTGCTTCTCAAGTTTTTGTCCCGGTCTTATATGATACAGTATCAAATGCCTTCTTACAGTCCAAGAATATGCAGGCCACCCATCCCTCTTTCTGCCTCGCTTCTCTGTGTCATAAAGCTCCAACAGGTTCGCGAGATATAATTTGCCGTTTCTAAACTCGTGGTAGTTATTGTTTATGAACCCACCTCTCTCCAGATGTTCCACCACTCTCCTGATTATCTTTTTCATTACCTTACATAGTCTGCATTTGTTAAACGTTGCTTCCCTCTGGTCTTTCTTAAACATCGGGACTACATTCGCTGTCTTCCAGATCTTCGGCAATTGTCCCATGTCTTTTGACCTATAGATTTTTGGCTGGTTTATCAGGTAGGGTTTTTGCGTCCTCTCGCAAAACCCATGACGGTAATTTGTTAGGTCCCATTGATAATGATTGTGTGTGTGTGTGTGTGTGTGTGTGTGTGTGTGTGTGTGTGTGTGTGTGTGTGTGTGTGTGTGTGTGTGTAACACCCACTTCCGGTGTCAGTATGTCAGTCAGCTTAGTGGTGTTGCTGGACGGTGACGAGGGATAACTACCATCCCTCACAGTGGCACATTGACGAGTGCCTCCTGCTGGTGGTGGCACCCAGCATGCCGCAGGTTTTTCCTGTGTGTCAGGACCCCCCGCCGCCTTGGCCTGTGATCAATGACGGCGACGACTCCGCCAGCAGCAGCAGCAGCAGCAGCAGAGGCAGCGGTGGTAGGTGCAGCATTCTCACCCCCCTCACTTCTGGCTGGCTCGCTCGCCCAAACCCACCGCTACTCAGGGCTCTCTCTTAGTATCATCGGGATTCTAGTGATCAGTGTCTGTGATGTTAGTAAATTAACCCCCTCATCAACGTTGGTGTAGCGTATTCAAGTAGATGAAGGAAAAAAATTGATGTTGCTAGACGAAACGGTGTGTGTGTGGACTGTTTATGTACATAATCAGTGGCATAGGTGTAGCGGCGGCGGCGGCAGTGGTGGTATTGGTGGCAGTGGTGGTGTGGGCGGCGCGCGGCGAGGTAAAGATGGTGGTGCTGAGTAACCTGTGTGTGGGTGTGATCGACACCCTCTGCCGCCCACCTGCCCAGCCCGTCGACGCTGAGGGATGCACCTCCTGGGAGAAGAGTGAGTCCTGAGTGTCTTACAAATTGGCATGAACACTCCTAGCGTAGCTATGTTAGTTTTCTCAAGTGTTGTTGACTGGAGATCCTTTGCTAATCTTATGCTTCAGTACGCTTGGTGATGCTGTGTTGTATTCAGCAACAGGTGGTTCACTTTGCTACTTTGGCAGTAAGTGTTGCTGGTTGTTGCTTGGGAGAAGCTCCTCTTATCATCTCTAACTCTCAGTTGTTGCTTAAGAGATGTTGCTCTGTCATCTCTCAAACTCTCAGTTGCATATTGTAACAGAATAATTTATTTTTGTAATTTACAGCCAGTTTTGTTCAACACTCCTTAATCCCTAATGAACCACAATTGTGGATAATGTGCTAGTCACAGGGGTAATTTTGTAATTATAATAATTATTATTATCATTAGTAGTAGTAGTAGTAGTAGTAATAATAATGAATAACAATAGTAGTAGCAGTGGTAGTAATAGTAGTAGTAATGGTGGGCCATTCGGTGGCAAGAATACCGGAGGCTGGAGTCTCCGTTTTCATTATACTGGAGTTAATTCAATCTTAATAGTATTACAGTGGTCACATTAAATTAATTTTGTATAACTCAGTGCAAACATAGCTTCGCCATTATATATACGTATTACATATTTTATAAGCTCATTATGTCAGGCAGCTTCGAGAAGACGCTGACTTGGCCTTCCAGGAGTAGCTAAGTCTCATCATTGCATTGTAGATTATAAACATGAGGTGCTTGTGTTTACCTCGAGGTGTGTACTGAAGCATATCGCAAGGCTGGATAGAGGCCACGCGCTGCTAAGGTCATTGGGCCTTGCTGCTTCACCGACCTTGCAGTACCCTGCTCAGGAGAGCCGCAGGGTTGCCGGACGGTGCATCAAACCATCATCATACTTTGCGCTGAATGAATCAGACGAGTTTAGCGTTTTACATAAAATATAAGTTATATAGTCTCCTTCATCAACAGTATAATAACCTGTATGCTGTGTGAAGGTATCTTATTGTGTGTTCAGTCCATAACTTCGATGACTGTGGTGGTCACTCACTCAGCCTTAGTGTGTTCAGCCCCATAACGTCCGTGAAGCTATGTAAGTGAACACACACCAAGGCTGAAGAACTTACCACGTCCAACTTACTTCTCAAGGCTGGGGGGCAAGGTATCTAAATAGTGAAACGTATCATAACAGAAATCATAGTTAATATCCAAAGTGACAGAAAATTGCATCAATTTGTAAATAACACTGGACTCCGCAAAAAAAAAATAATAATAAAATAAAATGTTGTGTCTGCTAGTGAGATAAATGAAGTCGAAATTGAGCTAGCACGTCAAGATAATGTTTATTGAAAAACTTATGATTGCAAGAATTGTTTATTTATAAATCATGTTCCATTAAAATTTTACAGCACAGGTAATATAATGAGTCATAACTTCCTGTTATAAAGTAACTGCTTAAGAATGTTTCAGGGACATGAAACAACTTTCTCACTGGAGGTAGAAAATATTAAAAAATATTTTAGGCATTTGGCTTGACGCTTATAACGAACAGTGATGTCTGAAAAAACAACAACAGTAGTAGTCTCCATGTTGAAATTGGAAATATCCTGATAGCGTACTTCCAGTGCTCTGATATCCTGATAGCGTACTTCCAGTGCTCTGATATCCTGATAGCGTACTTCCAGTGTTCTGATATCCTGATAGCGTACTTCCAGTGCTCTGGTATCCTGATACCGTACTTCCAGTGTACTGATATCCTGATAGCGTACTTCCAGTGTACTGATATCCTGATAGCGTACTTCCAGTGCTCTGATATCCTGATAGCGTACTTCCAGTGTTCTGATATCCTGATAGCGTACTTCCAGTGCTCTGATATCCTGATAGCATACTTCCAGTGTTCTGATATCCTGATAGCGTACTTCCAGTGTACTGATATCCTGATAGCGTACTTCCAGTGTACTGATATCCTGATAGCGTACTTCCAGTGTACTGATATCCTGATAGCGTACTTCCAGTGTACTGATATCCTGATAGCATACTTCCAGTGTACTGATATCCTGATAGCGTACTTCCAGTGTACTGATATCCTGATAGCGTACTTCCAGTGTACTGATATCCTGATAGCGTACTTCCAGTGTACTGATATCCTGATAGCGTACTTCCAGTGTACTGATATCCTGATAGCGTACTTCCATGTACTGATATCCTGATAGCATACTTCCAGTGTACTGATATCCTGATAGCGTACTTCCAGTGTACTGATATCCTGATAGCATACTTCCAGTGTACTGATATCCTGATAGCGTACTTCCAGTGTACTGATATCCTGATAGCATACTTCCAGTGTTCTGATATCCTGATAGCGTACTTCCAGTGTACTGATATCCTGATAGCGTACTTCCAGTGTACTGATATCCTGATAGCGTACTTCCAGTGCTCTGATATCCTGATAGCGTACTTCCAGTGTACTGATATACTGATAGCGTACTTCCAGTGTACTGATATACTGATAGCGTACTTCCAGTGTTCTGATATCCTGATAGCGTACTTCCAGTGTTCTGATATCCTGATAGCATACTTCCAGTGTTCTGATATCCTGATAGCGTACTTCCAGTGTTCTGATATCCTGATAGCATACTTCCAGTGTTCTGATATCCTGATAGCGTACTTCCAGTGCTCTGATATCCTGATAGCGTACTTCTAGTGTTCTGATATACTGATAGCGTACTTCCAGTGTACTGATATCCTGATAGCGTACTTCCAGTGTTCTGATATCCTGATAGCATACTTCCAGTGTACTGATATACTGATAGCGTACTTCCAGTGTACTGATATCCTGATAGCATACTTCCAGTGTACTGATATCCTGATAGCGTACTTCCAGTGTACTGATATCCTGATAGCATACTTCCAGTGTACTGATATCCTGATAGCGTACTTCCAGTGTACTGATATCCTGATAGCATACTTCCAGTGTTCTGATATCCTGATAGCGTACTTCCAGTGTACTGATATCCTGATAGCGTACTTCCAGTGTACTGATAGCCTGATAGCGTACTTCCAGTGCTCTGATATCCTGATAGCGTACTTCCAGTGTACTGATATACTGATAGCGTACTTCCAGTGTACTGATATACTGATAGCGTACTTCCAGTGTTCTGATATCCTGATAGCATACTTCCAGTGTTCTGATATCCTGATAGCGTACTTCCAGTGTTCTGATATCCTGATAGCATACTTCCAGTGTTCTGATATCCTGATAGCGTACTTCCAGTGCTCTGATATCCTGATAGCGTACTTCTAGTGTTCTGATATACTGATAGCGTACTTCCAGTGTACTGATATCCTGATAGCGTACTTCCAGTGTTCTGATATCCTGATAGCATACTTCCAGTGTACTGATATACTGATAGCGTACTTCCAGTGTACTGATATACTGATAGCGTACTTCCAGTGTTCTGATATCCTGATAGCGTACTTCCAGTGTACTGATATACTGATAGCGTACTTCCAGTGTTCTGATATCCTGATAGCGTACTTCCAGTGTACTGATATACTGATAGCGTACTTCCAGTGTACTGATATCCTGATAGCGTACTTCTAGTGTTCTGATATACTGATAGCGTACTTCCAATGTACTGATATCCTGATAGCATACTTCCAGTGCTCTGATATCCTGATAGCGTACTTCCAGTGTACTGATATACTGATAGCGTACTTCCAGTGTTCTGATATCCTGATAGCGTACTTCCAGTGTACTGATATACTGATAGCGTACTTCCAGTGTACTGATATCCTGATAGCGTACTTCTAATGTTCTGATATACTGATAGCGTACTTCCAGTGTTCTGATATCCTGATAGCGTACTTCCAGTGTTCTGATATCCTGATAGCGTACTTCCAGTGCTCTGATATCCTGATAGCGTACTTCCAGTGTTCTGATATCCCGATAGCGTACTTCCAGTGCTCTGATATCCTGATAGCGTACTTCCAGTGTTCTGATATACTGATAGCGTACTTCCAGTGTTCTGATATACTGATAGCGAACTTCCAGTGTTCTGATATACTGATAGCGTACTTCCAGTGTTCTGATATCCTGATAGCGTACTTCCAGTGTACTGATATACTGATAGCGTACTTCCAGTGTTCTGATATACTGATAGCGTACTTCCAGTGTACTGATATACTGATAGCGTACTTCCAGTGTTCTGATATACTGATAGCATACTTCCAGTGTACTGATATACTGATAGCGTACTTCCAGTGTACTGATATACTGATAGCATACTTCCAGTGCTCTGATATACTGATAGCATACTTCCAGTGTACTGATATACTGATAGCGTACTTCCAGTGTACTGATATCCTGATAGCGTACTTCCAGTGTACTGATATACTGATAGCGTACTTCCAGTGTACTGATATCCTGATAGCGTACTTCCAGTGTACTGATATACTAATAGCGTACTTCCAGTGTACTGATATCCTGATAGCGTACTTCCAGTGTACTGATATACTGATAGCGTACTTCCAGTGTTCTGATATACTGATAGCGTACTTCCAGTGTTCTGATATACTGATAGCGTACTTCCAGTGTTCTGATATACTGATAGCGTACTTCCAGTGTACTGATAGCGTACTTCCAGTGTTCTGATATACTGATAGCGTACTTCCAGTGTACTGATAGCGTACTTCCAGTGTTCTGATATACTGATAGCGTACTTCCAGTGTTCTGATATACTGATAGCGTACTTCCAGTGTACTGATAGCGTACTTCCAGTGTTCTGATATACTGATAGCGTACTTCCAGTGTACTGATAGCGTACTTCCAGTGTTCTGATATACTGATAGCGTACTTCCAGTGTACTGATAGCGTACTTCCAGTGTTCTGATATCCTGATAGCGTACTTCCAGTGTACTGATAGCTCGATGAAAGCTTTCACCATGCTGAGCACTAACAGCACCAAGATTAGATGGAAAGTAGTTCAGGTGTGAAT